AAAAAAATAAAGTAAAATTAAATAAAATGGAAAGAAATGAAATAAAATGGAATAAAATAAAATAACATTGAAAAAATAAAATGAAATAAATTAAATAAAAAAAATAATAAATTAAAAAAAAAAATAAAAAATTTAAATAACTTAAATTATTATATGTAATATAATAATTAAATAATATGTATAATAATTAAATAATATAATAAAATAAATAAAATTAATTAAATTAATTAATTAATTAAATTAAAATAATATTTAAAATAAAATAAAAAATGAAAAAAATAAATGAAATGGTATAAAATAAATCAAAATAAAACTAAACTAATTAAAATGAAATATTATATATGAGTAGTAATTCAAATGAAACAGAATAATAAGAAGCACGTTAAAAGAAATTTATAGAAATAAAATAACACAAATTAGAATAATATAAAATATAATATTTTAAAATTACATTAATAAAAAATAAAATAAAAAGAAATCAAAAAAAAAAAATAATAAAATAAAATAAAATAAGATAAATAAATTGTAACAAAATATATATAATAAATAAAATAAAATAAAATATAATAAATAGAAAAAAACAAAACAAAGCAATATAAATTGAAATAAATAAAATGCCATAAAATAATACAAAATAAGATGAAATGAAATAAATTAAAATAAAATAGAGTGAAATAAAATAAAGTAAAATTAAATAAAATTGAAAGAAATGAAATAAATAAATCAAATAAAATAACATAAAATAAAAAATAAAATAAAAGAATATGAAATGATTCAGTGAAAAGTATTAAAAATGAAATAAAACAAAATAAAATGGAATAATCTAAAATAAAATAAAAAATTGAATTTAATCAAATAACATAAAATTAAGTAATAAATCAATTAAAACAATATAATAAATAATATGACAAATTCTAATAGAAATAAATAAGAAAACATAAAATAAAATGAAATAAAATAAAATAACTAGGAAAACATTATATACTAAAATAAAATAATTTAGAATAAAAAAATTAAATTATAAAATTTTAATAAGATAACATAAAATTAAATTAAATTAAATAACATAAAACAAAGCAAAATAAAGTAGAAGAATATGAAATAGAATATAATAATCAAAATAAAATAAGTTAAAATAAAGATATATTAAATCAAATCAAATTACGTAAAACAAAACAAAATAAAATAATATAAAAAAATAAAATGATATAAATAATATAAAATAAAACAATATAAAATATATTTAAAAACTTAATTAATTTAATTTAACTTAATGAAGTAATTTAAATAAACTAAGCAAATTAAAACATAATAAATACAAATTAATTAAAGGAAAGCACTTTGCCATAGCAGACACTCTCATAGTACGAAAAGCTGATTGCGGTATCAAATAATAAATGGAAGAAAGAAGTTCACGTAGGCATTTAATTTAGAAAATGTATAAACCTTATATGCAATTATGCAGTAAGAATAAATCAGTCAATAATTAAGTCAACGCATAGCCTGAAATGAATATGAAATATCTCTTCTCTTGCCAAATCCAGCATGAATGATTTAATGACGGTTAATCATAAAACTGCTCGCCAACAATAATAAAATTTAATTCCTTGTGGTGAAAAATAAATTTAAATGTGATTAATGATGGCAGTTACTATTTGACATAAGCAATTCAACACATAAAAATGAAATGATTAATTCATTATACAAAAGATATTTTATTACTTTATGCCAAATTTATTAAGTCCATTATGTTTGCTTAGATTTTTAATTTAAACTAGTTGATAAAATGTGTTTCTTTTTTTGTGCTGTATTTTTAGCGCCGTAAAATTAAAATATGTTCAAATACAGTTCCGTAAATGAAATGAAATACAATGAAAATGATTAAGTAAAAATTGAAAAATTAAAAATAGAGAAAACACGCATGACATTAACGTGATAGTACAGTTAAGTATAATTTTTAGATTTGTTTTCGGGCTATGGGTTTTTTTTTTTTTTTGAGAAGCTTACAAGGGTTGCTCACGCAAGAGTCGGAATTGACTACATATCATGAAGCTTGCCCATGTAAATCTCACTACACCACATAGATCTATAATATTCAATTGATCATCTCACTATAGCAAAGATTTTCTTTATTTAATTTGTAGAATCTCCGAAACTATACTGAAAATTTTGTCAGTTGTTCATATGGTTTCAATTCGAAAATATCGTATATATGGTTCGATTCCCTTAATCTTTGGTGCATATTTTATTAAAAGCTTTTAACTAGTAAAATAGTGTTCGTGCGACTCTCTCTTTCTGCTACAAATAAAATGTGATTTTTTAGCTATTATCTGTTTGGCAACACTGGTTTAAACAGCTGACGCACGTTTCGTGTCTTGTATCACTGTCAAACATCTTCAGTTTGATCTATAATTTAACCATGAATCGTCTTACAAACGAACAACGCTTGCCAATTCTTGAATTTTATTGTCAAAATGCGGGCGAAGCTCATTTTTGGTTTACTGGGAGCGTAAATAAGCAGAATTATCGATTTCGGAGTGAAGATCAGCCAGAAGCAAAGCAAAAACTACCAATGCATCCAGAAATAGTCACAGTTTTGTGCGATTTATGGGCTGGTGGCATCATTGGACTGTACTCCTTCAAAGATGATGCAAATCGTAACGTAACTGTGAATGGTGAGCGCTACCGTGAGATGATATCAAACTCTTTTTTGCCCAAAATCCAAGAGCTTGACTTGCATGCCATGTGATTTCAACAAGACGGAGCCACATACCACACATCACGCGTTACAGTGGACTTATAGAGAGGCGAGTTCGGTAAAAATTTTATTCCATGTTCGGGACCGGTCAATTGGCCGCCTAGATCGTTCGATTTAATGCCTTTAGACTTTTTTTAGTGGAGCTATGTTAAATCTAATGTCTATACAGACAAGCTCGCTTCAATAGACGTATTGGAGGACAACATTGAAGCATTTATTTGTGAGATACCGTCCGAAATGTTGAAAAGAGTGTGCCAAAATGGGGATGAGCGGTTAGATCATTGGGGGCGCAGTCTCGTTCAACTTTTGCATGAAATAATCTTCAAACATTAAATTATATGGACCGTACTATCGATTCAAATAAAGATTTCTTGCATTTTTCTGAATTTTACGTGTTTTTTTTTTAACTTTCCTTCCTATAGCTTTTGAAAAATCACACTTTACATAGGTAAAACAATCAGATGTCTTCCTCTTCCATTTTTTATGTTGGTTTTCTATGATCTCGGAAACTATGCGGCGGCTCATGTTGAAAGCTTGTCAGCCTGTTACTACGGTTGCCGGAAAGGTGTACACAAAGACACCTTTCGGCTAGACCACTCTTTCCGCTAGCAACCGAATACATATATTGCACTTTTACGACTTTTGCCCTGAAGTTATGTGATTTGAATGTCAGTAGGCTTACCTTGGTTAACTCGCGGTAAAAAGTATATTTCTAAAAAATAAATTTGCATAAAAACTTAAATATTTTTACAAATTATATAATAAGTAAATAATATATAAATATATATAAATATATATAAGAAAAAAAAATTCGAAAATTTTCGACGTCAAATTTTCATAACTCCGTTATGGTGACGTCATTTAAGGCGACCTCTCGTAAAACCGACGAATCTGCGTTGACAAGATTATTCTTCTGACAGAATCAACCCAGATGAGAATAAAACGTAATTCTGCTAGCACCTAGAACTTTGAGTAAGGAAACTAAAAAAAAGTGAAAATTAGTTTTTGGCTGATTTTGGTAAAAATCTGTTGATTTTAAAATTTTTTTTTTGAATAGTAGTGATAGACGAACAAATTATTTACTCAAGTTCTCGTGAGTTATAATTCATCTGGGTTAAATTTTATTAAGACCTCCTGAGTTGTTGTTGTGAACCTTTGTCAACCGTTTTTGAAACTAAAATTTAGAGTCGACATGTCTTTGAGCATGCGCCTTCTTAAGGCTGTATCACCGTAATTTTTATTCGGTTAAACTAATTCAAAAAAAAAAAAATAATAATCAGGATAGGATTCTCGAGATGTTGTAGAAATTCATAAAATAATATATAAAAATAATTTTAAAAAATATCCTAAGAAATATACAATTTTTTCCCTCTCCTTTGAACATTGCCTTCGGTTATGTTGTCATGGCAACGTAAGCACGCAGGGAAAAGCCAGTAGATAATTTTTTTTCTATTAAAATCGCCAAAAAAAAAAATTTTGAATGAAATAACTTTTTGCGCATTTTTCTTATTTACATATTTAATTTTAACTTTATATTTTATTATTCAATTATATTTTTTTTTTCGTTTTTTTAAAATTGTCATATTAATTATTTTTTAAATTCATTAAATTTTCTTTTTTTTTTGGCAGAAAAAAGTTAATGCATTTGTATATATGTATATGTGTAAAAAATTGTATAAAAACACAAAAGACAATAAAAACATTTGCATGATTTCAAAACCATATGGCGGATAAATGATTTTCCAGTTGCGAATACCAAATAAAAATTAATTAGAAATATTAATTGACATTAAATACAAAAGCAATAACACTTGAAATTATAATTACAGTTAGTTTAGTACATAAATTGTGAAAAACATCGCACAGTTTCATCAGATTCATCAGTCGTTTGCCACATTAGCAAGATATGTGGAATACTCCAGTACAGTAGATATTCAAAGGCGAACGCCGGCGAGTACATATGTATCTATATATATATATATGTATATGTACTTGTAATATTGAATATGTACATCGGAGTTCGAAATAAAATATCATAAACAAAATGTTTTTATCTTTCAAGTCGAATCGAAAGTTTCCGCAGAAACAGCAACACATTGCCCCTGAAGTAGAAATTGGTGAAAATTCCCAATAACGAGCCATAAATCAAATCTTTGAAATTCAAATTTAAATTGAAATCGAAATGAAATGCAAAACAAAAGACCACCGCAACAACAACAACGAGGTCGTAACATAAACTTTAATGTTACCGCAAATTTAATAGCAGAATTTTTAATTATTCAAATTTTGGAAATGTATTTACAAATGTTCTTGTTGTTAATTTGTAGTTTTTACTCACTGAGCTACCTCAGCTTTTGTTATAAACCATATGCTCAGCACATTATTCATGTGAAAATAAGTATTTGCACGCAAAATATTTGTATAAATTTATACAAATGAATGTTTTTATGTGAGAAAAATTGTGGCATCGTCTTGTCCATTGGTACTCCTCTGTAGTTAACTATTGGATCAATTCACGTTTCGCTATCACCCTGTTGTTAGTCGATGATTATTCGAAGGTCACATTTCGTATGTACACCATAATTCTGGGCGATCCAAAGTTTATTTTCCTGTAAAGAGAATAATGGAAAACAAGATCAGCCAACTGGGCGCCATAGGTACGCTTACAAGACCGTATCCTTTGTATGATTTTTTCCAACATTAAATCTCAGAGTGGCTGCTTTATGACCTCAATAGCTTCACGAATTTCACCTTTGAAGTCTTGAAACGACATTGGCCTGTTGACGGGGGCCTTACGTGACTCCAATGGTAGAAGTCGCAAGTCGTTAAACCATAAGATCTTGATTGCCAATTGGGCACACACGATCCGAAAACTTTTCCCTAAATATAACGATGCTTTAGTTACTTGCGTGGCATGTAGCACCGTCTTGTTGAAAGTAAACGTTGTCCAGTTCAATACCAGCCATTTCCCATCATAAAAAATTATTAATCTTATCTCGATAGCACAATCCACTCGCCGTAACTGTTGCTCCAGTCTCATTTTCGAAAAACTAAGATCTAATGACCCCGCCGAACTATAAACCGTACCAAACAGTTACACGTTGAGGTTGGAAAAGCTTTTCAACAATAAATCTTTGATTTTCCGGGTTCCAGTTTTGCTTACTGTCGTACCCAACGCGGTTGAAACGGGTCCCATCAGTCAAACTAATTTTTCGATGAAATTCCGGATCATTTTCATGCATTTCAAGCACCCAATCAGCGAAGACTTAACTTTATTAATGATCAGCCGGTCTTGAGACCCAAGTTTTTATGCAAAATACGCTGTAATTACGTTTGTGGAATGCCCTGTTCCAAAGCATGACGCAGAATGTACAAACCTGAGTTTTCTTTAAGACTTTGGACTATTCTTCAGCGAAATGCACATGTTTTATTCTTCACATATCGAACTTGTCCCAACAGCACCATTTTTTCCAATAATTTCTGTTTTGCGATCCGACATGGTGCCGACTGTTTTAGTTTTACGAACCGTCTCTGCCAGGTTTCCCCCTTTTTTTAAGAATTTTAATAATTTCATCGCATTGTTGCCGCTTGTATACTGGTCTAGTTTTTACTTGTTAAATGTCAAAAATGTCAGCTTCACAAGCGACATCTACCCAACCTAAATAACAGGCTCTTTAGAATAACAGCTCTTATCGGAAAACCCTTTATTACACCTCTTTAATTACACCATGGAGTAATTTTGGAATTAATTTCAAAAATGAATTCCATGTATTACTCGGCTGCTATGCAGAGTTGGAGTATAAAGTCTAGCCCTTGAACAACGCATTATTCATTTCACCATACTTTTCGCATGAAGTGTGGTTAGTTTTAGATTACTCTGGTGTATATATTTCATGCGTGCATGGAGAAGTCGCTTTTCTGCTGGGTAAACATATACACACCGCAATTGTTTATATGAAATGTATTTTATTTTAAAACAATTTCTTTTGTGTTCACAACTTTTTTCTAAAACTATCTTTGCTACCTGTGAAATATCGGCAAATTGAATTAAACACTGTTATCTTTATATAAATGTGTATATATGTAAATATTTGTAAATAAGCTAATTGTTTGTATGAGTTAATGAATTACCATTTGCCATATGGCACGTATCAAGTAAGGAGTTCAGGAGAACTACAATCGAATATGATTTTTCTCACATGCATACATATATATATATATATATATATATATATATATATATATATATATAAATGTTTTATATTTATGTGCATATCCCTGCAGTACTGCTGGCAGCCAATTGATCCAAAATCTATAGCGATTCTACTGTTTACTTAGCTGTTCCTTGGCAATGCATAACATCTATATGTAGCTCTGTCTACTGGTAATGTACATCATTACCTGTTAAATGACAATTTTAGGATTTGATTTTAATTTTTTGATTTTTTTTTGTTATAATTTATTTTTGAGTTCTCCTTATACTTAAAATATTTTAATTTTTTGAAAAATTATAATTTTGATTTTCAAACTTATGACATACAAATGATATGTACATATATATATTGAACCAAGAAAAAAACCTTGTACACCAAAAGCAATCGTCTTCAATTTAGAATATCTCCGAAGACATTAAAGCTTTTGAGCTAGAACCAAAGGCAAATTAAAGTAAATTATATATATATATATAAATCATATATTATATTATATATAAAGTATGTATAATATATAATTGGCGCTTTGTAACCGCTGAAGCGATTTTCAGCCGAGCTCCTCCTCCAATTTGTGGATTTTGCGTCGTGAGGTTTTTTCAACAAATGACGACCTATAATTAGTACTAAGCCGCCTCCGAACCGTCGTAGGCTTTTTATGAGAAGCAGTTTTTCATGTCAGAAATACGCTCAGAGGGCTTGACGTTCACTGTCTAGAGACGGCTGCAATTAGAACATTCAATTTTGAATGTTGTTCGAACCAAGACTTGAGCCCTGGCCCTCCGACAGTGTGTACATTATGTAAAGCTAACCACTCGGCTCTTGCGGCCGCCAATGTAAGAACTGTTGGGGAAAGTAAAAGTATGCTGCACTTAGTACTCTGCATCTCGAGTGACAATCGCTTCACTTTGAATACTCTTTTCGATAATCGAATACTTGGTGTACTCTGTTACGAATGAAGGTGTCAAAATTACAGATTATTTAAATATTCTCTTCTAAAGAAATAAGAAATTTAACCGTTATGTTATTTATATGAAAATACCCAGTTCTGATGGTCTCGATTCCACTTCCACTTCCAACCTCCCAATTAAATCCACCTCGGGAATGTAGAAAGCCACACTGAGTTTTCAAAATCGCTCGCAGCAGTGCCATACAGGTATGTTCAGTGTGCGAGTTTGAGCGCAAACAATAAAATAAGTAAGCACAAATTTCTCATTTCTCTTCATGGAAATCCCCGCTTTTGACGTCTCCTTCTGTTTAGTAATGAATTTAATAATCTGCAGATTGAGCATCCCATAGTTTGCTCGAATTATCCTTATGTTCGACGATGTTTTGTATGAAAGACTAAAATCTACCGTGAACGAACCTATCGAACACTATATGTGAGGGTTTCAAACAGCGCACAGTCTTGGAAAAGATCCACGAGAAAGTGATCGACAGAGGAAATGTCATCGTCATTTTAAAGCTGCCTTCGACAAACTGAGTAAGGAAGTGGATCGAAGGGGTCTGATAATTAACGAAGGCAAGACGAAATATCCCGTGTTATCAAACCAACAGTCGCGTGTTTCATCTAGCACAAGAGTTCGTCTATTTGGGAAACAGTAAAAGCAAAAATAGCAAGGCCAGTTTTGAAATTCAAAGTATGATTACTATTGTCAAAAGGTGCGGTTTTGTATTGTGTAAGATAATAGAAAAGTAGATCCTTCTTTGGACAAACAAAGAAGTTCTTGATCATTATGTGTGGTTTTGCAGTGCTGAAACGTAGATCTTAAGAGTCTTCGGGAGAAGATTTATGGTTTTGCGGGTACGGGCGACGACGAATGGCTAAAGCGTTGGAAAGTATTCGATGCAGTACCCACCAGTGGAAGCAGAGGAGGATCTCTACACTTTACAGAACATATGAGGAAGGCCCTGCCGTCACTATGTGTATCCAAGTGGCGTCGAACGACTAAAAGAAGAAACGACTGATGCAGTATTTGCGTTAGTTAAGATAATGAAATGTATTTCAGCCTACCGCATTTGTTAAAAAATTATATGTCTAAGCTCGTAATAAAATGCTTTACAACACGGGTGAGCTCTTTGCAATTTGGAGGAGTTTCATTGATTCATTGACACGTCTTTGGAGCGTTTTTACCTCTTTTATAGTAGAAGAGCATCACATGACCTACTTCTTTGCAAATATCGCTGATTTTTCCAATCAAAATAACTTTTCATACAAATGACGATTTACGGAGCTGCCTTCATAAAAAACTGTTCTTGAAATGTCAGCTTGCCAACACGTTTGCTTGGCACAATCGGGATTAGTTTTACCCGAAATACCCTCCTAAACGCTGAAGCGATTTTTAGTCGAGCCCCACTACCAATTGGTGGTGTGCGTCTTAAAGTTTCTCCTACAAATAGAGGGACCAACAGCTTATTCTAAGTCGTCTCGGAACGGCCATGTGGTTTTTTTATGGGCTTTGATTTTCAAATCAGAAACACGATCAGAGGGCTTGACATTCTTTGCGAAATCGAACGAGTCGAGTCTGGAGTCTGTCATAGCGCTTATGGGAGTTCATCTGCTACTCTCAGATCAGCATGTAGCATGTAAGAGTAGACAACTCTGCACTTAAAATCTCACGATTGTTGTTTAATTCACCAACAACAACTATAGCGAATGCATACTAGGTACAGAAGAAAGAAGAAAACGATGGAAAATAAAGCCTGAGATAGTAAATCTACGGCGTCTTTTTCGCAATTTTTTTATAAACATAAATATATACATTACTTACATTTACATAAATATATATAACACTATACTTACAATTATGGAGCGCAACTGCTGCCAAACAGCGATGTGAGCAATTTAACTCCCTTCATGCATGCCTATGTACGTACATATGTATATATTTATATACACCTGTGCAGCACAGCATTTTGATCATATCAATAACTACCGGTACTTACATATACATATGTAAATAATATGCATGTATACATAAATACGCTCAGTTTCTGCAATTACATGCAACATTTACCTTAACAATTCACTACTCTCCGCTGCTGCAAGCCACGCAAATAGGGCGCCCAAATGCAATGTATGCCACATCGTTTTGCATATGCACTCAAATACAAACATACGCACTGAGCTGTACGTATACTCATACATATCAGCAGGCAAGTGCTTACACAGGTGCTCATCAGTTCCGAAACCGTGCAACCGTTGTCGACAGCGATGGGATTGTGCTGTTGTTGTTGTTGTTTTTTTTTTCGATTCTGCCGACAACAGTTTCAGCAAGTGCATCTGCAATTACAAATCTGCGCTTGTTGCATGCCACATATTTTTAATTGTACATGCTTACGAGTATATGGGAAATGTAGATGCCGAACGTAGAAAATTCTGCGATAAGATATATACATATATGTATGTATGTATATACATTTACAGATGCATGCAACCGTTGAATGCTACGAGCGTGAAAAACGTGAAATTGCAATTTTTCCAGTAGTTGTGGCACTTTGCCGTATGCTGAGATGTGTTGCAAGTGCTGGACAAGCGCTGCCGTAAATGCAGAATACAAACTAGTAATACATATATACACTGGTGTTCACAAATATAATTATGGCGAAAAAAAAAAATATTTTGAAATATTTTTCAGTTCTTGACCAATTTGATATATGTCCATATTTTAATGTTGTAAAGCAATTCACAAATTTCAAAAATTCGGAAATATCTTACTATCATGATTTTTTGAATTTTTCGATATTTAAAAATTACGATCTCACAGCAAAAATACATTTTTACAAGTGAAGAAATGGGTTCAAAATATGACCGAATATGAAATCAAATAATTTATTATATTTGGCTTCTCATAGTATTGTATCTAGTTTAATTTCATTCAATTTTATGTCAGTTAAATTTTTTAAATAGATTCTTAATTTTTCATTTGTTTATTTTGTTTTATATATCTTATTTTAGTTCGTTTTATTATATTTTATTATATTTATTTAATTTTATTTTGTTTTATTTTTTTCATTTTATTTTACTTAAAAAATTTTTTATTTTATATTTTATTATATATCATTTTATATTTTTATTTTTATTTAACATATTATATTTTATTAAATTCTACATCAATTTATTTTATTTCATATTATTTTATTTTATTTTTTCTTATCTCATTATATTTCATTTTATTTTATGTTTATAAATTTCTGTTAACTTGCTTCATATTATTTTATTTCATTTTAATTACTATTCATATTAAATATTTTATTTCATTTTTTTTCATTTTTTATTTTACTTTATTTTACTTTTGATATTATTTAATACTTTATTTTATTTTACCTTATTTT